ATATATTTTGAATTTCAGTACCGAGTGGCTAATGTAGATGGTGTTGGATGTGTTCGCAGTAACCTCATATAACATGATAATGACAAAGATTTTTCTGTATAACATATTTGACCATAAAAAGTGATATTACTGCAAGTATGACAAACTGCCTAGGCTGGAAAACATTATAAACATTTAAAGGATGATTAATTTCTAAAAATAACAAAGTTAAGCAGAGCTTAGAAGTCAACCTGTCTTTTTCACAATTAATAAAACATGACTTCATAAAAAAATTATACGGTAATATGTTGTGTTATAAAATGTAATTTTGTCCTTTCTCAAGCTTTACATTTTATTAGAGGTTAAAAAATATTTTAAATTATTATTTTAAACCACTGACACATTAAATATTACTATAACTAAAAATAGTTAATAATAAAATGCAAATTACATAAAAACATAGAATACGAAATATATATGCGTTTGATCATTGTTTTGTCCCTACTAAGAACTGTTTATAATAATTAACTTCTTGGACATAATAAAGAGCAGGTTTGCCTGTAAAGTCCATTAACATATAAATATACATTCAACTTTAATGACAAAAAAATAGACTTGCAGAAAAAAGTACACATATGGTGGTCACAGAAGAATTTTTTTTAATTCTACTTTTTTCTGCAAAGGTACCATAAAAAACGTTGTTCCCTTTAGCACACAGTAAGCTCCAATGATCCTGTTTTCTATCTTTTTAATTGTGACAGTTTCTAAACACAGTTTAATTAAGATGAGATGCAGTTAAAATATTTGAGCACCCCAATCAACTCCCAACCCATTGTGGCTTGTGTGACATCCCTCCCAGGACCAGATGTCCTAGTCCAGGTCCTACACTGAAGCATATTGCTTTACTGCCAATAAGGATGAGTCCCAGGTGCCCATGTTATCACTTGATTTTTGTTCTCCGATTCCCCCTTTTTCTCTTGCTCCCAACAAGATCAATAGAACAAAAAAACTTTTATCTTCATGCAACACTACATTAGTTGACAGCAAAGAACTGGCCACCTGCTTTAGCTGCTTCTCTTTACTTCTGCCAGGTCTCATTGCATTATAGATAATGATTTTATGCTTGTACAAGAAGGGGGCACAGTCATGGTAAACAGAAAAAGAGAAATACAGAGGTACACAGAGACATAAAATATGGACAGATAAACACAGAACTAGAGACATTTCTTAATTTTAAAATTGTGTGTGTGTATATATATATACACATATACACACACAATGTGAATATACTAATTAATTTTGTTTTCCTATACAAAACACTGGCCAGACTTTCTAGGATGATGTGGGAGATTATTCAACTAATGTAAACATTATTCAGAATTAATTCTTGAGCTTAGTTTCTAATTTTACCCATGTAGAAATCATGCAAAAAATGCTTCTCTGACAATTATATACTACCAATTATATACTACTACCACTGACAATTGACAATTATATACTATATTATTATATACTGACAATTATATACTAAGCCTTTTTATATATATATATACATATATATATATATATATATCAGTTTGATAATAATTTTGTTTAGATACTAGTATTAAAATTTTCTGGCAAAACTTAAATGCTGAGGTCCAAGTAGCAAAAGATTTCAATTATCAGGGTAAGAATAATGATAATTACGCATTTTCCTTATGTAATGCTGAGAGGTTTAGTTCTATTTCAAGGTAGTTAGGGCTAGGAAAATAAAATATAAAGATTTATTGAATGCCAAGCACTATGTTAGAAACTATTCACATATCATTCCATCAATTTCTTAAAATAACCGCACGTGGAGTAAGTGTTCATTCTTGCGGATGAGAAGTAGGTTTACAAATGTTTAAGTTACTATAAGCTTGAGGGAAAAATTAAGAATATTTTGTTCACTACCTTACCTTTAGCAACTAGCACAGTTTTCTGGCTCATAGTCTATGATAAATGACATGTGTTAACTAGTTTACCAGGTAACAGTGTTACAGTGCTTGTAAGCAGTACAGCTGAAATTTTATCTCAGGTTGTTAGACTTCAAATCCCAGTCTGTCTGTGCCCAGAACATGGAAGAAGCAGGTAATCTACCTTTCTGCCTTATCTGCTCGCAAAGGACCAGAGTAGTTGAGGTGGGATTTTTCTGTAGGGAAGAATGGCCTTGATAGTTACTGATTATCCACTGGCATTAAGACCAGAGCTTAAGAAGCTAAGTCCTTTGTTTTAAAACCTCTCTGGGTCTCATGTGCAACTTTAGTCAAGTTCTTTTGCCACTTGGATTTTACTATAAGAAGTTAATGATAATGATGATAATAATAAATAACATTAAACCCATGAGAATGTTGTGATAATTAATTGTACCAATACCTCTAAAGTTTATGGCTACAGAATTTATAGTCATCATTATTATTTACTCTGGAGAAAAGGCCAGCAATTCGGGTGATACCCAGAAAAGTTAATTCTCTATGGTCTCAAGGACAAATGAAGCTAGACAGCTCAACAGCAGTAGGCAGAGATGCTATTGGGGGACGTTTTGGAAACAAGAGTACTTCTACAACTGAGACATCCACTTTACCTCAGTCCTCTAAGGTTTCGAGCTATATGGTATTCCTTTAAGCCAGGACTGGGACTCTAAGCTATATGGGACTCTAAAAATGCCTATCCTATTAGATTTCATCACTGCTCAAAGGTACACACACTCCTCTGTTTATGAGCATGCTGGATTCCAAAAGGCTGCTCAAGTGAAGCCCTTTATTTACAAGCCCGAAGTGGTATCACAAAGGCAATGGAGAAAGCCTCCTATGGAAGGCAGACAAAACTGATTTGCATTTTCTCTGGTGTGAAGTTTTAAAATACTTACACAAGGTAATAAGAATAAAGTTTATAAGTGGAACCCTTCTATATTGTTTATCGTGATATGGTTCAAAGTCAAGATAATATAAGGTAGTTCACATCCAATGGAAAGAATTACTTTAGTTTTTTAGCCAAAATGTTTTATATTTTTTATATACCAGGCTCAATATTCTCTGTGCCCTATCAGGAGTTTTTAAATACTTCTCAGAGTTACTTGGAGAGACTGTGTGTGTGTGTTTGTGTGTGTGTGTGTATGTGTGTTCAGTACAGGCCTTAACTCAAGACCTATGATCTAAGGCTCAGCCATGTTTGGGGCCCACTGAAATACACAGTAGGTGTCAGTTTTTGGAGACCAGAAATTTCACCTCTGAAAAGGGAGTCTTTCTTACAATATCTATTTCTGCTATTTTTAACCTACCTTGCTCTAACAGTGCAATTTTAGACTGACTTTTTAAACTTGACTTGTACATAGAGTTTTTCTATTTTTTTTTTCTGAATATCAACATCAAATGGAAAAGTTCTCAGGGTTAGCTAATTCCTAGTTGTTACAATTTACTGGAACAAAAATAAACTGGAGGGGCAGATAGTATGATAAAGGAAATTAATGTGTTCAGTCACTTAATATCTGTCAGGCACTGTGCTAGATTCTTTACATATGCTATTTATTTAATCTTCAAAGTAACCTTATGAGTGAGGTGTTTTTATAACATCTAAAAACCTAATTAGAATCATCTTTAGATATACAGATAATCAGAAAAGCACTTGTTTAAAGCTGTATAATTCTTATACTGTCCCATATCACAAAATGTTATATGTGCCCAAGTATGTGAATATGTAAGTGCTACATCAATATAAGAATTAAGGAAAAATTTTGAAATATCTGACAAATTTACATTGTTTAAAAGTAGATGGTGGTATAATTTTACTTTCATTTTTTAAAAAAACACTATCATATAGCGATTTGTTAGAAATAAAGGTGTTAAATCAGGGGAACTTTAGGGAAAATGTCAAGAGAGAAGTGATCATATCCAGTTTTTATACTGACAGCAGAATGCAGAATTCATGTTGAAACTTATATATGAGCCAAATTCGGATTCACATCACTGACGAACTACAATAGATCCCTGTAGTCAATTAAAAACCAAAAGTGAGCTGAAGAGGCTAAAAATGCTTTTCAGCTGCTTGCTAAACTATAATATTGGGAGACCTTCTAAGCAGTGGCAAATACAGCTGTGTCCCTTTTTCTTTGTTCTAATTACCATTAATGTATGAGATAGTGACTATATTATGCCATTTTCACCTTAGTGCAAAACCAATGATAATTAGTAGAAAACTTTAAATTGTGGAAAAGGAACATATATATATAGACTTTAATTTGCCAATTTTTAGAGAGATCCCGTGAATATTGTACTAAGTGGTACAGAATTTGTCTTGCTTATTTATTGAATAATTATATGTTTTATAAAATTTGCAAAGGGAGATCATTTCTTAACTATCATACTCATGTTATAAATACCAAGCTGTCTAAATGAACAAAGAACACAGTCTTTTATGAGTATATTAGCATGTTTCAAGAAAAATACCTTTCTGCATATGTTGATATCATTTTGATGTTGTTGGTTTTTTCCCTTTTTTTGCATCGAAAGGGATGTGAGAATTTTGCTTTAATGAGAGGTTTAATTTTTATTCTGTTTGTTAAAGATTGAGGAGAGTAGTAAACACTCAGAAACAAATGATTACTTGGTTCAGGAAGGTAGATTTTTGGAGTGTTTTCTTTCAAATGTGCATACTTACTGTATTAAAAGTTATTTTACCTACAAAAATATGTAAATAAAAATAATTCACAATAAATGATATAGTTAATAATTCAGATGATATTCCTTAAGTGTGGTAAAACAAAGAATAAAACATGCATTAGTTTTTTTAAAAACTTTGCTCAGATATACATTTTAAATGGTATTTTAAGAAATCAAACTCGAAATCCTATTTATTGCAGCTTAAGGTACATTACTTACTGCTATTAATATATGGTAGGCAAAAGCTGCAAAATCATTGAGCAAAAATTAAGAAGAAAGGGTCTAGTGTAAACAACTAAGACAACATTAAGCATCACACAAAAATATACTTAAAGGTCTTACCATGAACTATCGGTGCTAAGAGCATCAGGAAGACTAGTAGCTGTGATGGCCACATGGTAATGTTCTCAGGCATGAGAGTGCCTCAAGAGTGAGTGTTCCAAACTTGAAACAAAAGAAGTGTCTTTCTGATTCTTCTGTAGTCCAAGACCGATGATTAAAAACAAAAAAAAGCTCAAAAGGAAGTATTCTTCAAAACAGAAACACCAATATCCCCAATCTGAATCCTGCAAATAAGAAAGAAAAAGGGTTATCAAATATAGGTTTTCTCATTTCCTTGAAAATTTCCTTCCTGAATAGAACATCTGTATACTGTCTCCCTTCTTCATTTTAATGAATACATGCATCATGTATAAAAATAAGTAAGTAACCTAAGGTACATTATTTATGCATGTAGTAGCACAGTGTTTACTTCCCAGCCCCCAAACTGACTGAAACAAATAATTCAGTCTCGCTGGACAAAGCAGTATAAATATACTATACTCATTTGTATAATAATTCATGATTAGTTTGTATAATTTGTTAATGTGTTTAAATAGATTTGGTACTTAACTCTGTGTAAACATTTTCCACAAATATAATTTTTACTAATAATAGAAAGTAAAAAAAGAAAAGAAATCATTCATTACCATTACTGTGTGTTTAAACAAAGTTAAATGCATGAGTCTTACTTTCATTCCAGGCCCTAATAATCATTCAGAAATCATTCCACATATTAACTATATTACTTTTCTAAATATTTTTATAATTAAATTTGTGAAAATTATAGAGTTATGTTAATTAATTATGCTCAATCATAATCAATTCATTCAACAGAAGTTTATTGAGTGTCCGCTGAAATACAAAGCACTGTGCTAGGAACATAGAATAGAATACTGAGTAAAACATGCAACCTATCCTCCAGGATCTTACAACTTAAAATAAGGAATCTGGCTTAAAAGTGTTAAGTGCATATGGAAGACATTAAAAATTGTTAGCATTGTAAAGTTATTTTACTGAACCAAACTGATATAGCTGCCCCCTCTTTAAAGTTTGCACAGACTTATCTTAGGAAGTGAAAATACTAAAGGAACATGACCCAAATTTTGAAGATGTTTATCACAGTGAGCATTTTTAAAACTGATCAAATGCAAACTGGATCTTCCTTTTCTTTCCTTCTTTCCTTCTCTCTCTCTCTCTCTTTCTATTTTCTATTCAAGTGAATGGTATATATTTAAAATCATTCCACATTTTGAGTATAAGTTTAAAATTTTTCTGGGAAGGAATATTCAAAATAGAGAGAGTATACTGAGGATTGTATTAAGCCTCATTCTACCAAAACACATTCCAAAGTATTTTTGAAGTAGTTGCCTTTGTTATAAGGCAAAATTACACAGATTTATCTGAATCTCTGGCACCACTATTCATAGCATGGTAATTCAGAGCACAGATTCTGAAGCAAGACAACCCAATTTCAATTACTAGCTCTACTAGAACTAAGACCTTGGGCAAGTCATTTAAGCCCTCGGTTCCTTGGTTTCCTATCTGCTAATGGTGGGGGAGTAATATTAATTCATATGGTTATATGAACATTAAATAAGCTAAAAATTGTCATTTTAGTTATATACAATACATAAAAACATGTATTGCCCAGAACAGTATGTAATAAGTGCTATATATCTTAACAGTTATTATACATCTCATTACTTTTCAGTTTTATCCTACTCATACTTTTTAATGTGGTTGTGTAAGAAGCAAGACCATTTGATAAATCAAGCCAAAAATATTTATTGAGTCACTATTGTACAGACAGGCTCGGAGAACGCTAAATCTGGAAATAACAGATATAATAATTTTCTTTCTAAACTCACAGACATTATAGAAAAATGAAGCTTAAAATAAACACTCTCATAACATTTTACTTTTACAAACAGAGAAAGCATTGACAACAAAAAAATGTGGCTGAGATAAAATAAATTATGTAAAAAGGAATCATGTTTAATATTTTTCTTTTGTTTTCCTTATTCACACTCTGACTTACAAGAAAACATTTAGAACTTTTCCTTAATTACCATAAGTGCCATAAGTGTTTAACTTTTTCTGAAAATAAATTTGAAAGCAGGTGCTAATTTAAAATTGCATTCTTTTACATGCATGTAATAATTAATGGATACTTAAAGAAGGATACTTAAATTGACTGATGCATCAACAAGTAAGCAATTACCCCCTCACATTCAGTTATTGTCTTTTTTCCCCTCTATAACTATGGCATCAAGAGATATGTATATACACACAGACATGTATACACAAACACCTACACACATATACGTAAGATAAATATATACAGTACTGTTTTGCAACTGAAAAAAAAAATGAGGGCAGCCATCTAGGCGAGTTATTTATACATTATTTCAAAAATATATACTAAATATCTACCATGGTGGATATTATTGAGATCACAAATAAAGTAGAACAATTTTTTCTCACAACTCCCACTGTAATGGAAAAGACGTAGTAAATGAAGTCTCAACATAAAGAGAAGAAGTAACATTTTATAGCTCCTATCATATTCCAAGCAATGTTCTAGATTATTATACAATTATATGATTTAATTCTCCATACAAATCTATCAGGCAGATAATATTGTCTCATGTCGACTGAGAAGTAAAATCAGACAATGTTACTCAGCAAGAATTTCATACCAAATGTCTGACTCCAACATCAGTGCTCTTTCCTCTCCCTACGGTAGAACAAACAAGAAGATGTATGAGCATAACCAGGGGTAGTAATTGTGCAAAGGAAGGGGGACAATGTAGCAAGTTTCCAAGGAAGACGTAGGCCTTGCTTAAATGTGTTATCCAATTGTGACAAGTAGAGAAAAAGGGAACAGCATGGATATATGAGGTAGAAGTGGAGGGACAAAGAGAAAGGAGAAGAAGGGCATGTTAAAGAAGGGAACCAGTCTAATTATAACATTGTACCTTTTGGAGGAGCCGGAAAATTATTTCCATAGTGAAGTATGAGTATTGCAATTGTTAAGTGTAGCTTTAGTGAAAACCAGAATAGTTTATTTCGTATGACATAGTATATTTTCACCTTGATGAAGCAATGAGTTACTTTATAGAAAGGATAAGAAAGTGTTATCTATCATTTATAATAATGGCTTATTTTAAGATATCACAGCAGGGCATAAAGCCACATCTACTAAGATTATTTTGCATTTGATTTGATCACAAGAATTTGTTTTCATGATTAATTACTCTGTAAACAGAGGTGAGAAAAGGAATTTAGATGAATAGAAGATATTACTTGAGGAGAGTAATATGTTTTCACACCCTAGCCTCACCACCCATAGACCTCTCACCCACAGCCCCACAATAATGTGCTAATTTGGGCATATATATAATAAAATTGCAATAAGTAAACTATATAAATTTTAATAGATAATGTTCCAGACAAGTATGCTTATAATCTACAGAAAGATAAACTACCACTCTTTAAATACTAACTTCAAAAAAAAAAAAAAAGAAAACTTTCTGGGATGGTATTTTTTTCCAATTTATGTGTTGTCATTAACTTAACCAAACCAGTTATCATATAAAAGGGATTTTCACTCAAGTCATTTCTGAAACATAGCTCTTCAAAAACACATAGAGAAGAAAAACCAAGAAAAGACATTAGGGGCTCATTAAGTCATATATAGACAAAATAATTACTCATAAAAAAGATTTACTAATGATAAAAAGCATTTGAAAAGTCGATTTCAACATGTATTTCCATCTCCAGTGAAATTTCTTTAGCCTTTTCTATGTACAAAGCTCTGTGTTAACACTATGGGTCAAATGACGAGAGTGTGTCTACAAGTCTATGATCACTGTTTTAAAACAACATGCAGTAAAATAGGAATGCTAGAAGGTATACTCACCAATAATTAAAGCTGTGCAAAATGTGATATGTGTTATGTGAGATAATCTAGAAACACACACACACACACACACACACACACAAACTGCCAGATTTCCTTTTGTATGTAACAGCAAGGGACTTAAAAGCATGCAAACTGAATATTCTGGTGCTAAGCAAGTTTACAAACCTCTCTGACTCTCAGTTTCTTCAACTACAAAAGAGAAAACAATATTCACCTTGTAGGTTGGTTGAGAAGATTAGCGATAGCATAAATTATTGTCTGATGCAGAGATGTCGTGTCATCGTGCATGTCTGTCATTCGCCAATTCCTTTGTTTCCTTAATTCTTTCAAAACTGAGGAAGAGACCACAAGTCCAACTCCCACACCTTTCACTTACATGTTTAGGAAACTAATAACAGACTCTCCTTGAGAGATATGCACACTCAAGAATTCTATGGCTGAATGGTGGCTACTAAAACAATGTGAGATTTTATTTTTAAAAAAAGGATTTTCAGTATGCTTCTCTTGTTTGAAATATACTTTGTTACTTAAGCTACTAATTTCCAGTAACAAATCAACACATAAAATGCTTTAAAAATTATTACTGAAAGACAGTGTTTCTAACTTTTACCATAGATTATCACAATATGGCAGTTTTGCCTGTTACCCTATCTAAAACTTGGAAGGTATGTATTTCTAATGCAGACTTTGATTAGGTAAGTGAAGTTTATATGTCTTCCAACAAACTACCTAACTTCACTACACTTCACAATATTCAAAATTAAAAACTGAGGTTGATTAAAAGTGTCCTAATTTATATCATTAATATTTAAGATTATAATTATATAACTGTGTGATCTAACTCATGTTCCACTAAATTTTTTTTTTTTGGGGCCAGGGTAACTCTCACTTTTACTTATTTTTATTTTTTTTAACATCTTTATTGGAGTATAATTGCTTTACAATGGTGTGTTAGTTAGTTAGTTAGTTTCTGCTTTATAACAAAGTGAATCAGTTATACATATACATATGTTCCCATATCTCTTCCCTCCTGCGTCTCCCTCCCTCCCACCCTCCCTATCCCACCCCTCCAGGCGGTCACAAAGCATGGAGCTGATCTCCCTGTGCTATGTGGCTGCTTCCCACTAGCTATCTACCTTACGTTTGATAGTGTATATATGTCCATGCCTCTCTCGCTTTATCACAGCTCACCCTTCCCCCTCCCCATATCCTCAAGTCTGTTCTCCAGTAGGTCTGTGTCTTTATTCCTGTCTTACCCCTAGGTTCTTCATGACATTTTTTTTCTTAAATTCCAGATACATGTGTTAGCATAC